AAATTATTTCAAAACAAATATCATCTGAAAATATTTCTTGTTCGAGTTTCACATGCTTTTTTGCTTTCTCTTCCATATTATTATTATTATTATTATTGTTGGTGAATATTTCCTCCGAACTAATTAATTGATGATTTTCAAAATCTTGTCTGTTTCGTTTGCTCATTTTTTTTAAATTCATGTTAAGGCTTTGATTCATATGTTAGTTTGGATTCAATCCCAGAAACAAAATTGAAATAGCACCGCGGGAGTCTTCGAAGCCTCCAACTTTTTCGCTGGAGCCAGTACTTGTTTTGCTATGGTTCTGAAAGTAGCTTCTCATATCCAGAGGTCTTATTGGTCCAAGTACTGGTAGATTTTGTTCTCAATGTTATATTCAAAATAATTTCCTGAAACATTTATGAATAGCGTATATTCTTTTTGAATGTAATGGGGATGTAGCTCACATGGTAGAGCGCTTCTTTAGCATGGAAGAGGTACGGGGATCGATACCCCGCATCTCCACTCAATCTTTTTATTCACACCAGCTTTACGATTTCATTGTTGTGTTTGGTTCAACTCAGCGATTATTGGTCACTTGAATTTTCTGGTCAAGGAGCTCCATAAAATAAACAAAATAATTGACCCAGTTAAAAAGTATACAACAATAAATGTTGCTTTTAATAATTAACCACAAGTGTCATTTTTAAATTGATCAAAATTCAAAAGTGATAAATAGATGGTGATCAAGCAAGATCTATTTCTTCAACAACCTGTTTCGCATTGAACAAAACAAGATTCGTCAAAAGAACTCTTGAATTCACTGTTCATACAGTCAAAGACTGTAGCGGGATTGTCGCCATATTCCTGGCAGGCTTCCCGTCCAAATTATTAATTGAAAATCTTATGAGAACAGTATCCTTCATCATGTACTAACAAAAAAACTTTGTTGTTCTTGATATTTATTTAGCTGAGGGATTGAGGCAATTATAACCTTTCTAAACTAGGCCAATTCAACATCAGTGGCACCAGCCATAATTAAATCTTTTGCCAATGAAGCAGATGCTTTCTTCTTCATCATGATTACAATAGTTGTAATCAATACAGCAACACCACTTCCAATAACTGCAACAGAAACAATTGGAACAACAACTGCTGCAACAATCACTCCTGTATTCTCACTGTGTACTGAATCAATAGCAAGAAAAGGAAGCGAAGTCAATCTTGCTGAAATCTGAGGATTGTTTTTTAGTTGAAGTGAAAGAGCTGTTTCAGTTTCAACTCTGAAGGAAATGAGCGTCGAGTTGAGGGAAAGAGCTGCTTTTGCTGTTAAGGAACCTGTTTTGGAAAGAGAGGCTGGTAGATTAAATGGAATGGAAGATGTCAGCTGTTGGTGGACAGTTGAAGAGGAATCAAATTGACCATCTAATAGGAATTCAATAAAAATGTTAATGGATTGGTTGACATAATAATCAAGAAATGAAGAATCTGAATGAAAGAGAAATAATGGTGA